AAAAGATGTGCTTTATGTGTGTAAGTGTTTGCTAACATTGGTGTCTATGAACCACCTGAGTGCCTGGTGCCCATGGCCAAACTCAGGCTTCAGATGCCCTAGACCTGGAGTTACAGTGGGTTCTGGGACTGGAACCAGAGTCCTCCGCAGGAACTAGTGCACTCAACCACTGAGCCATCTCTCTAGGCTCCTACCTTAGCTTTGTGAGATAGTGTCTCTCACTGAACCTAGAGGTAACCAGTTCAGTTGGACTGGCTGGCAAGGGCGACCCCACGATCTACATGTCTCCTTCCTCCAGCTCTGTGATTGCAGATACCAGCTTCTGGCTTTCATGTGAGTGGTGGGCATCTGAACGCAGTTCCTCATTACTTGCACAAGAAGCACTTTAACCCACTGATCCATGCCCCGAGGACCGGTCAACCCTCCTTAATCAAGGTTCAGTGAAGTGTACATTTATCTTGTGTCAACATACAAATCTGGCTAGAGGGCTCTGAAGCTGGAAGCCACTGGTGTAGTCAGTGCCAGCAGGGATTGTACGAACACTGGTGAGATATGCAAAGAGGAAAAAGTATGACTGATTCTGCAACCCTTCGGTTTAGCAACATCACTTAAAGGTCGTCAAAAGGAACAAGCACACTGAGGGGTGCTTAGAGGACACTGCACCCAGCAATCAGCCATTCCGGGGCAGGGTGAGAGAGGTGTTGCTGTCTGAGCCAAAGTCTTGCTATGAGGCCTACATAGCAGAAATTCTGTATCCCCCGGGCTCAGTCTCCACCAGCTGAGATTAGAGGCATGTGACATTGCACTCTGTTTAGGCAGTGTTATTTTAAAAGGTTCCTAATGACAATGAAGTATAAAGATTAATATTACTCAAAAAACCCACAAATACCCCTCACTCAACCAACCAGATTTAAACAGAATACAACCAGGTAGTAGCCACATTGAGTTCATTAAGTGAGAAACACTTCCCTTCTCCTGATTTCTTTCTGTATCTTCTCTCTGAGGCCTCAAGAGGGAGCAGAGCTATGAAAATCTGAATCATCTATAAAACCAGAAACTAAAAGCATCTAGGATGTTTCTTTTCTTTTCTTTTCTTTTCTTTTCTTTTCTTTTCTTTCTTTTTCTTTCCTTTTTTTTTTTATTCAAGATAAGGTTTCTCTGTAGCTTTGGTGTCTGTCCTGGAACTAGCTCTTGTAGACCAGGCTGGCCTTGAATTCACAGAGATCCACCTGCCTCTGCCTCCCAAGTGCTGGGATTAAAGGCATGCAGTTTGGGCTGTTTCTTTAAATAATTTCATAGATACATAATTGACACACACTCTGAGCGTTCAAACTGTACAGTTCAATCATTGCTAGTACATTTTACATCACCTCTAAAAGAAACCCTGTATCTTCAACTCCAGCCTTAGCAGTAATTATTCTACTTTCTCTTTCTGTAGATTTCACTATTCTAAACTTTTTATTGGCTTTTGTTGTTATTGTTTTTAACATACGAAGAAATAGGGGTTGGAGAGATGGCTCAGCGGTTAAGAGCACTGGCTGTTCTTCCAGAGGTCCTGAGTTCAATTCCTAGAAACCATATAATGGCTCACACCCATCTGTAATGAAATCTGGTGCCCTCTTCTGTCATGCACATATACATACAGGCAGAACACTGTACACATAATAAATAAATCTTTTCCAAAAAACAAAAACAAAAAACAAAGCAAGCTGGGCAGTGGTGGCGCACACCTTTAATCCCAGCACTCGGGAAGCAGAGGCAGGTGGATCTTTGTGAGTTCGAGGCCAGCCTGGTCTACAAGAGCTAGTTTCAGGACAGGCTCCAAAGCTACAGAGAAACCCTGTCTTGGAAAACCAAAAAAAAAAAAAAACTGGAATTATACATTATTCTGGTAAGCATATAAAGAATGTGACCGGAATCATACATTATTCTGGTAAGCATATAAAGAATGTGACTGGAATCATACATTATTCTGGTTTGGCTTTGGTTCGGCAATTCTTTCACTGCTTATAATGCATTAATTATCCATCTAAGCTGCAGCTATGCAGGTGGATGACTCTGAACTCCTGATCCTGTCTCCACCTCTGAAGTTCTGAGACTACGGGCATGTACTAACCTCTACATAATGAGCTACCAGCTCAAGAAACTGTTTTGATAGACCATGTGTTTTCTCTTTAAAATTTAGTTAATTTGATAATTTTATAGATTCACATACTGCATTTTGATCATTTCTACTGTTACCTTCTCTTGCGCCTCTTCCCTGCCACCTGAACCTCTTCATCTAGTCTCCCTTCTACATTCATGTCTTGTGTATATATATGTTAATGACAAGCTCATATGAGACCCATTGAATTTAATTAGGGCTGTTTATGCATTAGTGGGCAATAATTTACCAGGACATTGACAACTTACTAGCAAGAAATGTCTCCCCTCACCTAGCAACCACTAACTACCGGTAGCTTCTCAGGGAGGGGTGGGCCTCATGAGCCTTTTCCCTATCCATGATGGTGTTGACAGATGCAATTTCATCTGGTGTAACTCCTGTGTTGCTCTCTATGGTACAGTTGGCACTACTGTACCGTTTGAGAGCTGGGCAAGGGCCTGGAGATTGAAAGAACACACAAGAGACTTGGGTCATTCAAAAGGAGATAAGCCAATGCCCTTTATTCAAGCTTAGGAAAAACCTTATATACCTAGCTGCTGCACAGTGGAATTCCCCCCCAGGCAGGTGGGAAATTACCACGCCCAAAATGGTGTAAACAACGTCCTATAGCTAATCACCAGGGTGTCAGAGGGAACACAGGAACAAACAGGATGTTTAGCTGGAAAATGGAACAAGATGTCTGGCCAGAAACTGTCTTCAAGATGAACCCTGACAATCTGGGTCCTAGGTATGTGATTACTGTCAATCTGGAGCCACAAGTTCAGTAGTCATACCATGTTCCAAAGACAGGCTTCCTCCCTGACCTCTGGCTCACACATCCTCAGAAGCTCATCTTCCACAGCGTTCTTGTAATCATGGAGGGGGATACAGGGGTCACTTTCAGGGCTGATTACTAAACAGTCTCAGCACTTGAATCCGTCATGAATCTGCAGTAACCACAAACCACTGCAAACGAGCCTTCTTCTTCCAACGCTGAGAGGCACCAACCTGCGAGCATGAACGTGCTTAAGTAGTTTGGTGGGCACAACATGTCTATTTAACAGAACAACGGCAGTAATTTCCATGCTAGGACCTATGATGGCTTTAGTTACAGGGTTCTGACCAGGTTTGCAGCACCAAGAATAAATTCCTTCCTGTGGAACATGCTTCAAGTTTAATCAGAGAGCAATCAGTGATGTCCATAACAGTCTATCAGTAGTGAATGCACTGTGCCTGGCGCTTTGGTTGTGCTATACATAGGATCTCATAAATGGGTAAAACTTAAAACTTTTCTAAATGTGTGTAAATGTTTTGCTTGCAAGTATGTATGTATACCACACATATGTATGTATGTGTGCTTAGATTTTCCAGAGGTCAGAAGAAGACAGTGTCGGATTCCCCAGAGCCAAACTTATAGATGGTTGTCACTTGCCATGCGGGTGCTGGGAACCAAACTCAGTTTCTTTTCAAGAGCAATAATACTCTTTACCTCTGAGCCAATTTTTGATAACTCTTCCAACCCCCATCAGTCTACATAGCATCTTTCAACACCATGAAAGACAGTCAGCAAGGAAGAGTCTTCCATTTCAGCTCCAGAGAGACCACTCTATATCCTATAAGCTAAGGCATCGCCAGTGATGGGTTTTCACCATCTAGGTCTGGTGGGTAATCAAATTTAGCCCTGATAAGCTAAGTTTTAATAATTGATCTCTAGATGTACATGATTTTTCAAGAACTAAGAACGGCAGTATAGTAAGCAGTGATTAGAACAAAGACAATATTTTGTTAATTAATACCCTTTGAGTTAAGATGACATAATTGTAATGATCTGTTCTGCCTCTCTTTAAGAGACAAGCCACGCCCACTCCGTCCCCTGTCCACTGAGGCAGGCTGATCTTCAGCTTCCAGCCTGAGATCCTTCCCTTTTCCATCTCCTTCTTGAAGAGGCAGCTTCTGCCTCTCCCCACTTCTCACCTTCCCCCTCTGTCTCTCCCTTCTCTCTCTCTCTCCCTTCTCTCTCCCTCTCCCTCTGTCTGTCTGCTCTTCTCACCTTCTCCCTTCCCCATCCATAACCCACTGAATAAATATCCAACCTCACTTTGCAGGCGTGCCTATCCATGTCTCTGTCTCTTGCCCTCCGCGGCGTGTCTCCCTGCCCTGGACCAGCCATTGCTAGGGGACCTGCAGCCATCCCTGCCTAGGACTGGCTGCTCTCAGGGCCCACTTCCTGACACCACATGGGGACCTGCAGCATTTCTGCTGCCTGCCACCTCTGAGGATCTGCAACATTTTTCATAATCCACTTTAATAATCAGGCCTGGGGAGATGGTTCAGTGGCTAAGAACACGTGTTACTCATCCAGGGGAACTAAGTTGGGTTTCCAGCACCTTGGTTGAATGACTGTGAGCTTCACAGAGGATATGATTTACTCTTTTGGTTTCCATGGACACCAAACGCACATGGCATGTAAGTAAAAATAGAAATAAGTCAGGCAGCTGGGTAGTGCATGGTAGTGGTGGTGCATGCCTTTAATCCAGCACTCAGTAGGCACAGGCAAGAGGATCTCCATGAGTTCACAGCCAGCCAGGATTACACAATGAGATCCTGTTGTGAAAAAAGAAAAATTCCACAAATTATCAACAATAGGTATCCTAGGAGTTAGAAGAAAACTTAGAGAGGGATACAGAATTGGAATGTTGAGGACTCTTTATTCTTGTTGTTGTTGAGATGATGTAGTTCCAGCTGACCCAGAACTTGCTGTGTAGACCAGGTTGGCCTTGAACTCATGGAGATCCACCTGACTCTGCCTCTTGAGTGTTGGAATCGAAGGTGTGTACCACCCCACCCGATTCTTAAATCTTGATCATATTTTTCAGCCCTTGGTCCCTTTAGTTTCCACACTGCTACTGAGAAATAGCAGGCACACACATGCACAAACCAAAGAACTTGTTTATGCTCTTATTTTCCAGAAATATGGCAAGTCTGAAGCTATCCCTGAGGAGGCAGCTGTTTCTGGGGACCAGTAAGAGGGGTGTGTCCTCATGGAAGACTCCAGTCTGTCCAGCGCTATCGATGTGGACAAAGGCTTTGCCATTGCCTTTGTCGTCCTTTTGATACTCTTTCTAATGGTGATGGTTTATCGGTGTGTAAAGCTGGTGAAGAATCCCTATGAGGCCAGCTCCACAACCACAGATCCATCTCTGAGCTGAAGTACCATAAAATCTGGTAGACTCCTCTCACAAGAGATCTGTAATCATTTGGGTTTGTTTGGGTTTAGGCTGGCCTCGAACCCCTGACTCTCCTGTCTCTATCTCCTAAGTATTGAGACTACAGAGAATGCTCCGTCACAAGATTTGAGACGTTTTATTTGATGTGGTATATGACCCAGACTTCTCTTCTCTTACTTCCACATTTTCAACCTTCCTATCTGATGTCCAATGATAAGCTCCTAAGAGTCAAGAATCTCACCCGAGAGAAAACACAGGCCCTTTCTTGTTGCTCCTTTTCAGAGAATTTGAATTTATTGGCTAGGTTAAGGTCATGAGTTTCAATTGTCCCATACCTAATGTCTCTGCGATAGGACAGTAGATGTTAATTTAGTGATATAACGTATCATAATGCTATGCTTGAGGCCCTTCTGAAACTAGATGCTGACCTGGAGGTGATCAAATTGATTTGTCCCTTATAAGGTAAGCAGAAATGGTTAGCATCTGACAAGACCTCTTCAGGGTGTCAAATCTGTTTGCTTCTCCAGAGGGCAGCACTCTGGGGTCCAGGTGGTCTAATTTGCCTGGAGCAAGTCTCTCCACTCTCTGTCAGTCAAAGCTCCCTCATCTATAAAGTAGCATGAGTGGGCTGAGTGGAGCGACCCACGGTTTCAAACCTTAGTCCCTACATACTAGGAACATGATCTGACTTGGGAAAAGTCCATGAAGAATAAAGACTTGTAAAGCAGATGAAGTGGTTCACACCAACCATACCAGCCCTGGAAAGCCAGAGGGAGGAGATTGTCCTGAACTCTTAGCTTGGGTCACACAGTGATTTCACAGCAAGTCTGGGCCTCAGGAACCGGAAGGTCTGGGGAAGACACCATCAAGATAAAGACGATGGCAGATATTTGAGTCCTGCAGCCACAGCCAAAATCCAGCAGAAGCTGGAAGAGACAAGGAAGGATTCTTTTCTGGCGCCTTTGGTGGCATGCCCCCCCCCTCAACAATTTGGGTATGGACTTCTTCACGTGATGGTAGACAAAAGGCCAAGAACCTATTTCACTGCAGATTTCTGCTCCCTAGGACTGTGAGAAAATACATTTCTGTCTCTTTACACCATGAAGTATGATCACTTGTTGTGACAATCACAGGAAACTGATTGACAATGCTATCATCACTTTCCAGAGACTTTTTGATCGTTTTGTTTTCTAAACAGAGTTTCTCTGTATGGCTCTGGCTGTCCTGGAACTCACTCTGTAGACCAAGCTGGACTCAAACTCACAGAGATGCGCCTGCCTGTGCCTCCTGAGTGCTGTGAGATTAAAGGTGTGCGCCACCACACCAGACTACCCAGAGACCTTTTCCAGAAAGAAAACTGGGGCTGAAGAGATGGCTCAGAGGTTAAGAGCATTGGCTACTCTTCAGAGGTCATAAGTTCAATTCCCAGAAACCACATAGTAGCTCACAACCATCTGTAATGATATCTGGTGCCCTCTTCTGGTCTGCAGGCAGACACTGAGACAGAACACTGTATACTTAATTACTAAAATAAATATTTTTTTTTAAAAATCAAGAAAGGAGATCACAAGCCTCCACTGTCCAAAGTCTGAAGTTAAAGAGTGAGTTATAAGAAATGTCATGAGGGAATTCACTAGAAAGAAAGGGGACATCTTGTCTGCTGAAGTTCAAGAAGAGTTACCATAAAGAAGATTGGCTCTGCTGGGTGGTGGTGCACGCCTTTAATCCCAGCACTTGGGAAGCAGAGACAGGTGGATCTCTGTGAGTCCATAGCCAGCCTGCTCTACAGAGCTAGTTCCAGGACAGCCAGGGCTGTTACACAGAGAAACCCTGTTTCAAAAAAAAAATCAAAATGCAAAAACAAACCAACAGAAACAAGAAGGTTGACTCTATGGTGGCAGTAATGGAGAATGAAAACTGTCAGGTCCGGCCACACCCATCAACTAGTCTAGACAAAGTAGGCTACCCTGTGAGTGTGAAATGAGAGCCATCATCTTTGAATGTTAGTTCAGTGTGTCACCTGGGGTCAGGCAGGAATATTAATCAGCAAGCAGTCATCTCAGAGGATGTGTGGGTCCAAGGAGCCGTGTAGGCCAGGCGTGCCACTGCAGCAGTCAGCCCTCTACATCCCAGGATTCATCCAATTGGACATCAAAAACAGCCAGAAAAGACATTGTGCTGGGTGGTGGTGGCGCACATCTTTAATTCCAGCACTTGGGAGGCAGAGGCTGGTGGATCTCTATGAGTTCCAGGACAGCTAGTGCTACACAGAGAAACCCTGTCTTGAAAAACAAAAACAAAAAAAAAAACAAAATAAAACAGAACAACAACAACAAAAACATTGTGTCTAGTGTGGTAACTGTAATCTATCTCAGAACCTGGGAGCCAGAGGCACGAAGATTTGAAGTTCAAGCCAGCTTGGGCTACCAGCGTTCCTTCCTCTTTCAAGAAAAATTCAAAGCATTGTAACTATAGATTTTTTTCTTTCCTTGATGTTTCCTAAGCAATGTAGTACAGACTAGACACATAGACTCGGTATTGTATCAGCTACTACAGTGATTCAGAGATAATCTGGGGTCTATAAGAAGGCTAGACTGGAGAGATGACTTAGTGGCTTAAAGTGCTTGCTGCTTTTCCCAAATTAGCACCTGTGATGTTATATCCACAACTTCAGCTTCAGAGACTCAGATGCCCTTGCTGGCCTCCTCAGCCATGCCCCTCCACACACACACACACACACACACACACACACACACACACACACACAAATACACTACTCATGGCCTCCTTAGCCATGCCCCTCCACACACAAACACACACACGGCATACACTCACAAAGACATATACATAGAAAAATACTTTGTTTTGTTTTTTTTTTTCAAGACAGGGTTTTTCTGCATAGTGCTGGAACTCTTTACACCAGGCTGGCCTGAAACTCAAAGAGATGCGACTGCCTCTGCCTCCTAATGCTGGGATTTGGTGCTGGTGAAATGTTTGTATTCTGTCAACCATGTTTTTAAAAAACGCTGATTGGCCAGACAGGAAGTATAGGTGGGACAATCAGACAGGAAGTAGAGGAGGGACAATGAGAACAGGAGTATTCTGGGAAGCAGGAAGCTTCCTAGGCAGTGAAGCCCAGGTCACAGAAGAAGCAGGATGTGACCTGCCCTGCTGAAAAAGGTACTGAGCCATGTGGCTAACAAAGATAAGGATAATGGGTTAATATACATTATAAGAGCTAATATGAAGCCTGAGCTAATGGGCCAATCAGTTTATCATTAATATAGACTCTGCGTGATTTTTCTTTGGGACTTGCCAGCTGTGGGAACTGAGCAGGACAGAAACCCCAACAAGCCCGGCTTTCATGTTACAGGGATTAAAGGTGTGTACCACCACCTAGCATGAAAACACTTTTTTTGTTTGTTTGTTTTTAGAGACAAAGTTTCTCTGTGCAGCTTTGGAATAGAAATACTTTTTAATCTTAAAAAATGACTATAAGGGGCTGGAGAGATGGCTCAGAGGTTAAGAGCATTACCTGTTCTTCCAAAGGTCCTGAGTTCAATTCCCGGCAACCACATGGTGGCTCACAACCATCTGTAATGAAGTCTGGTGCCCTCTTCTGGTCGCCAGGCATACACACAGACAGAATATTGTATACATAATAAATAAAATAAATATAAAAAAATGGCTATAAGAAGAGGATCGAAGCTGGGTGTGGGAAGTGGAAACAGGACGATCTGAACTGTATTCACACACAAAAAAAGCACTGGAGTGGGCGCCTGTAATTCCAGCACTGAAGAGAGAGAGAGGAAGAGCCCTTGGGCTAAAGCAAGTCAAACAAATGAGTTCCATGGTGAGGGAGAAATCTTGTCAGAAAAAAAGTAAGGTAGGAAGCAGCAGAGGCAGAGAGATGATGCTGCCCTCTGACCTCAACATATGTAAAAAAAAAAAAGGTGTACTGTCACACACACATGGACATATACACAAACACACAATTAAAAAATAAAGTGCATAGGAAATTATATACAGATATGTGAAAACACCATGCTATTTTACACGAGAGATGAGGACATTTTAATTTTATTATAGATGGAAACCTTAGAAAACATTGCCCTTAGACACTAAGAGTAACCACTGTCCCCTTAGACACTCGGAGAAACCACTGTCCCCTTAGACACTCGGAGAAACCACTGTCCTCTTAGACACTCGGAGTAATCACTGTCCCCTTAGACACTTGGAGTAATCACTGTCCCCTTAGACACTAAGAGTTACCTCTGTCCCCTTAGACACTCAGAGTAACCACTGTCCCCTTAGACACTCAGAG